GCGCCTCTGAGTTGTAGCTATCACCATCACAGCGCCCTGTCGTGTCCTGTTTATAATCGGAAACACCGGATCTCAATAAGCCCGAAGTTATGGTGGATTTAGTTTCTTGAGGAGGCGCCTCAGCTGAGGAACTGGCCTCAGAGATTTTGGAGGACTGTGATTATTGGTGGGCGGGACCGTCTAGTTCAGGTGGTTTTTTGGATAGAGGAATTATGTTTTGTTTACATTCAAAATAAAGTAAATTTTGGCGTACTGTACGAGTTATTTATTTCCTTACTTCACAACTTCAGTATGACACAGAACGAGTATCAAATTTATAATATAAACTTTTAACATTGGTACGTGTTACAAAATCACAAGGTAGTAATCAATAATTCTACTATTTTCCTCAATATCTAATAGAGCAAATTATACAATTTTATGTTTTATGTACAATAATTTATTCTGGCAACAATTGGTAGATATATATAAATATATACAGACATATATGACAAAACTGGCTGTTTGTAGAGTGGACTAACTTAAATCATATTTTATTGTCCGGTTGTAAACAAACTGGATGAAAACAAAGAAATGGATTCATTATTTTATTGAGAGCTTGGGATTGTTTCTATCTTCTACATCCGACTTAATCACTTTCTTTCAATGCATGTTCCATGTGAACATTAAACATATTCTCTTTGGTATCGATTTAACACTATATAATTTACAGATCTACAGGGTTTCGTTTCATTTGAAACCAGATAATCTTAGGCAATGTTTTGTAATTAGTAGATTGTGCGCACCCTGCAACTTAAATCAGATAATGCTCAAAAAATTTCATCTTCTGGCATAAGTTTGTCAGTTTGCATTAAAATGGGTAAACATTAAAATATTCAATACAGTTTTAAAACTGCCTGTCTCAAATACCATTCATTTTCGTTTCAAATCTCTAGCTACAGTTAATTTGAGCAACTACTTTCAGCGTGATACTGCCAAAAAAACCATTGCTTAAATGGTTCCATGAGGAAGATGTTCCAGTGCCACATGACGGTACACGTTTTACATGAATATGAGTTACTTTTGATTTATATTCCTTGACAATGTTCTGGGATGGTTTCATGTAAAACTACCCACAGTTTCCATGTAACACTAACATTCTCTTTCACATAAGGAATAATAAGTTGAGCTTTGTCAGAATCATATGTGAGAATACACAAAAGATCAGTCCATAAAATATGTTTGCTAAAGCAACCATCCAGTTTCTCAACATCTAAAATTTACTTAAGGTAAATGACTTGATACTCATTGCGAAATAAATCCCTTAACTTTCTGGTTTAATGTGAAGTCCAGCCAAATTGTGTTGAAAATCTTTAAAATAGAGTTAAAAGCCATGTGAGGTAAAAACAAAATAGTTCAATTTTTACAAAAATAGACAACAGAATCACAAACCTACACGTCAAACAACATTAAGCCATGTTTTAAGAAACATAGCCAACAACTTGGATGTTCAATAAGCAACTCTCACACAATTAGTAAAACAGTAACCTCTGACTTAAAACTTTTCATTTAATGAAGTAAAATTATTTTGCTACTATTCCAAATGCATACATGTGTATATTGTATGACCTGATGCAGCCCATAAAAGGGGGAAATTACAATCTCAGAAAGACACAAATCTATCTAGAACTGTCACTGCTCAAGTAAAATTTAATTACCCTTTCATTCAGAAAGAGCCAGACAACAAATTAGTTTGGACAGGAAAGGGCTGGGAGAGACCAAAAAGTTATTAATCTAAAAAAGGTACAGAACTACTTAGGAATGAGATTCATCATTCAAGACTGATACATTCTCTGTAAGTATATGTTGCATGCCTAAAAAAATCTTATCAACAATACTTATGCAAAGAAAAATCATTAGACATCCTCAATATGAGCAAAGACCTCAAGTGTAAACAAGGGTGAATATATTTGCACACTCCCGTCACACAACATAGGTTCAGGCACGTATTGCATTCCTCTCAATGACAGAGACAACAATTTGTTGGTAACACTATCAATCAGTAGGGAGAATAGAATACTTTACATGAAATCACAGTCAACAACTAACAATAAATTAGTATGGTACGCTGATTGGAGGCCCGCTCCACCATGCTCAAAATTTGGTGTCTCTGTAGATGCGCGGTGGAGGCACCTCTTGGTTTAGCATTGGTTGTGGAGGGGTCACCTGAAACAGTAAAAATAAACGAAGTCATTAGAACTGTAAATTGTTTTACTGACTGTCACTGCATAGCTGAAACTGTCAGTTCATCTGAAAGACATAAAAACAACATTAAATTGGAATTGGAAATATGAAAACTTCATTCTATTCTTTTTAAAGAGTAGAGCACATCTTCACTTCTTTTAAGCTGTTTTTGTTTATACAAAAATTACACCATGGAATCTTAAAATATTTTTTCCCCGACACATACATCATTTATATGGTGTATAAGAAAAAGTAGTTTGTCTGAGCACTCCATGTACCGCGTGATTCAGAGAAGACGCATATACGGGCGGGTTTACCTGTCACCCTACCCGCAAGGCGCCATGGCCCTTTAGGTAGACAAACCCGCACCTGCGTCTCCTCCGACACCCGGTACGTTAAGTGTCCGGATCAAACCTTTCGGTTTGACTGCAAAATTGAACAGTAATATAGCATACAGTTTAAGGTTCCCCGCAGAACTTTTTGTTTTTAAGCGATCCTTTTTTTTTACCTCATGATTTGTTAAGTGCCAAGCTGCTAGGGTTAAAGTTATGGTGTATCATGCAGACGCAAAAAGACCCTCCACCGGCAGAAATACAGCAGCGACACGACGGGTTAGTTGTCAGACAGAGGTTAGTTCGAGAAGAAGTCAGTCATTTATGTTTTATTTATTTACCGACAGCAGGGGGGCCCGCTCGCTCCCCGCTTCTGACGGGTCGGGGTCGGGAGTTGAGGCGGGGTGGGGCTGGGACGGGGGTGTGACCAGCAACATTTTTGGCTAATAGGAAAAATACACGACCAAGTAAAGAAATTGTCATCTAGCGATATGTTACTACGATACAGTGACTGCAGTAAATATCTGATTAAACAAAATATTATCTACCGAAGTCATGGGTTCGAGCAGCTGTAAGCCGCCGGCTCACTTACCTCGACTACTGGGTGCGGCAGGTGGTGCAGGTGGTGGGGGTTCCTCCTCAGCGTGCCGAAGCCTTGCACCTGGCAATGCATGCCGGGCTGCATCGGCGGCTTCCCGTTGGCCTGTAGGACGGGCTGGATGGCGGGCTGGAGAACGGGCTGGTAGCCCGTCTGATACTGGTACTCAGGCTGATAGTCGGGCTGGTATTCGGACTGGTAGTCGGGCTGATAGTCGGGCTGGTAGTCTGGCTGGAGGGTCTGGAGGCCCGGCTGGACGCACTGGCCCATCCCCAGACCCAGCCCGGCGGGCGGCTGGTCCGCGCGCAGGTTGCTGGCGAGGAGCGGCTGTATGCTGGGCCCCATGCCGGGTCCCATACCAGGGCCCATGCCCAGGGCGGACCCGTGGCTGGGGCGCATGCGCAGCGTGCTGGTCTGGTGCAGGTACTGGAAGGCCTTTTCGTCCTCGTCCAGGTAGTCCAGGTCTAGGGCAAGACGTAAAAAAGTCATTTACCGCCTCACAACCCCCGGAGTCGCCACGCCATGCGCCCGCCCGCTTGCCTGCCCGCACCGCGCTCACCTGTCTTGTACGGAATGACGTCCGGGTCCTTCTCGTCACGCTGGATCAGGTCCTCCTTGGAATTGTCCTGCTGTGAGTCGCGGTCGCCGCCGTCCTGGGAGAACTCGCCGACGCCCCTTAGGGCGGCCTCCGCGCTGCCGGCACCGCCCCCGGCGCCGCTCCCGGAGCCACCGGGCCCGCCGCCGCGGCGCCGCCCACCCGCCTTCTCGTCGTTGCCCTCGCCGCGGCCGCGCAGCCTGAGGATGGCCACGATGACGGCGGCCAGCACCACGAGCCCGGACACGGTCCCCAGCAGCGGCACCAGCAGCCCAGCCAGCGGCATGGACGCGCGCGACGCGCCCGCGGTCGCTGCAACAGAGAAGAGTTTGGGTCAAGGTCAGAAGCAGTTACGCCTTTTGCCCCGGTTCCTGCTGCGCTGATCCGCCCCGCCCCGCCGAGATACGCCCACATAACGCAGATGGCCCGGAGCGGCAGTGGTCCATGCAATCGCGCGGCTTGAAATCCACTTGAGCCGAGCACAAAAGGGGAAGGGTTCGAAAGTCGAAAGTTGGCAACTGCCCTCGACGGATCTCGCCTCCTATTCGGCCACGCCACGCCGAGCCCGTCCCCAAGTTGGGCGACAAGTTCCATCTGAAGAGGGCACGGCCGCCGCCACCGCCACCGCCGCCACGGGGAGCGGGCGGAGCGGACGAAACCCAGTTCGACGAGAATACTGAGTTTTCTTTCCGAAGTGCAACAATGCCTCTCTTATCCGGGGGAAAATCGGAAGGAAAGAGAGCCGCGCATCTCGAGACGTCGTATCACACACGTCGCACCCGGTCACGCCCCGTCACGCCCCGTCACGCCACGCGTCACTCTCCGTCAGCTCCGGGCGGACAGGGCACATCGTTTGCCCCCCCCCCCCCTGCTGCCCCGCACGCAACTGGTCACGCGTCGACGCTGACCAGGCTCGCGTCCGTGCGTTCATCTCGTTTGGCTTCTTATTTTAGGCAGGCCCCCTTGTATTGTCCAGTTTTGCCACGACTGCGACCGCAGATAAGCTGGCCTTCCTCCGGCGCTCTATAGAGTTCCAGGGAGGTTTAGGAGGTCCGTCTGAAGCGAGCTGGGTCGGCAGGCCCGCTCTTCAGCCGAGGCCGGCCGGGGCGAGGGGCAGCTTCCTCCCGGCCCACTCCAACCTCTCCACCTCCTCCTCCGGACCCGCCGGCCGCTGCCTCGGCCGCGAGCTGCAAGGGGAGCCGAGGCCGAGCTAAGTGACTTTGGTTTGTTTCCCACTCTTCTGCCGAAAGCCCAAATAAGTTGAAGCAGGGCGCGCGCGGGCGGTGGAAACTATTAGCGAGAGGAGCCGTGCGAGGAGCGAGTGCGGCCGCGGCGGGAGGGGGAGCGGGGCGCGCCAGCCCAGCGAGTAGCGGCCCCGCGGTAAATGAAAAGTAAATGGGTCATAAGATTCGGGATGTTGCCCTCGGCGCTACCCTGAGGAGCGCGAAGTGGTTGACCTAGGGGGTTGAAGACCCCCGGGGTGCTCCGCTAATACGGAAAATACATTATGAATATGGGTTTGCCTTGCTGCGGGTTTGTCGAGTGGAGTCCGTGGTGGCCGGGCGGCGACTCACCTCCGGTGCGCGGCTGCGGCGCCTGCAGGGTGGTGGCCAGCATGCGCAGCTCGGCGGAGCGGCCCTTGGCGTTGGCGGCGTACAGCAGCAGCGTCACGTTGCGCGCGGCCGGCAGCCCGTCCACGAGCCAGTGCGTCGTGGCGTTGGTCACGTTGCGCAGCAGGCTGCCGTCCAGCGCGTCGTAGGCCTCCACCACGTAGTGGCGCGGCGTGGCGCCCGCGTAGCCCGCCGAGCTGCACGCCAGCGTCACGGAGCGCGACGTGGGCTGCGACAGCGCGCAGTCCGCGGGCGGGTCGGGCTTGCCGGCTGCAGACAAAACAAAAACCTCTCGTCAGAAAATAACACTGGCCGAGAGCACCCCTGCGGAGGAGGAAAACAGAGAGGGGTTTTAGTTTCAAGCATTTCTTTACAACCAAGTCCAAAGTAGAAAACACACTTTTGCGCGGGTGCACTCTTGTTTGAGTTCTTTGACTCACATAAATATTTTCTGTAGATTTTGCTTCGGGGCCAAATAATTTTTCTTGCATGAAGAAAAAACATTCCATGATTCAAGAACAATTATTTTCGTTCGTTTTTTAAGAATGATTTTCTCGTCTATGGAAAACGTTTTTTGTCACTGCATATGTACAAAAGTATTTTTTCGCGCCACTAGCCGTGCGTGAGGCAAGATTTGCGCGGAGATGGGTGCGTCAAGTGGGGCGGCGGCGCGTGGACCAGCCATGGAAGAATGCCGCGCGTTTGAGAGCCCCTCCGACACACAGAGAGCGAGGCGAGGCGCCGCGGCCGCGCCACCGCACGACCTCGCCGTCGTAATTACCGCGGCGAAATTGTTTCGGCGGTTTTAACGAATTAAACACGGCTCATACAAAGTAGCTGCTAACTCCGCGCGCGCCGGGCGGGGCTCAGCAGGGTGATGAGCACTCCCATCAGCGCCGAATGGAGTACCTGGCGCTCCGGCCGTGCCCAGCCCAGGAGGGCTCTGCCCGCGTGCCACCTCAATACAGGAGGGGGGCACTTGCGCGGAGGCATTCGAGGCCGACAGTGGGGCGGCGGAGGTTAGGGTTGTTGGGAGGGTTGGGACCTCCAACAGCCCCTCCCCCCCTCACTTTCCTGCGGCATGTACCACGTCCTTCGTCCTGTCGCGCGCGACCTTCCATCGACTTGCACGCTCTGCTTACTGAGGTGGTTCCCAATTTTTTCTCCCTCGCCTTTTTTTTTCTATTTGTTTAAATAAAAAAGCAAGAGGTGTGTGAGTTTGCGAGCAGCGGCGCGCGGTGCGGCTCGACATGACGTCACGGCTGCGGGGCAAACCCCCGCGCCGAATCCATCTTCGTACTCGCGGCCCGCCGGCAGTCAAGCGCCTCTATGCAAAATAACACACGCCACCGCACGCCACACCGCACGGCCCACAGGCTTTCGCAAACAAAAATGCGCGCTGATGAAAGATAAACACTACACACGCACTAGCCTGGCCAAAGCAGCGGGGCCCGGGCTGGCGGGGCCCGGGCTGGCGGGGCCCGGGCTGGGGGGGCCAGGCAAAAGGCACCTACCTCACCGACCGTGATTCGCCGTTACATAACTACTGCATTCACAATAAACAATAACAAAAATAAGCCACGAGGCATATATAACACAAAACTTTTTCAGCTCGGCTCCACAAAATTGGCGTTCGTTTTGCTTTTCATGCTAAACAGCCAGAGCCGACGGCCCGGAGCCAAAAGTAAGTATACGCAATGCCTTCGACCAGCGCCGCCGCTCCGCCGGCTCCGCCGGGACAACCACACACGTACCTCTACGTAAAGGAAGCAGTGCGCGGGCACCGCACACTCGCCCCGCCTGTTTTTCGCTTATTATTCCAGCCAGCTGCCGGGAGCAGGCAGACGGCGCTGCGGCGCGAGGGAGACGCCGCCCGTGCAGCGCGGGGTAGGCAGCCCGCGGGGCGCCGCCGCGCAGCCGGCTGAGGTGGCCTACCTCCCCGGCGCTCCCCTCCGCGCCCCGCCCCGCCGGGACTATGACTCCGAGCCCCCGAGGCCACGCGCCGCACTCCATTTCCTGCTGCTTTCCAGCGCAGCCCTGAGGGCGGCGGGGCGTCGTTGGCGGCAAGCTGCGCCACCGCGCCGTGCGCGGGGCTCGGCACAGCGGGGCGAGCAGGGTCGTTTGCTGCAAGCCCTGGGATGACCCCCTCGTGCGCTGCTGCTGCTGCTTCTGCTGGAGCTCAGAGGGCAACGCCGAGGCGGCGGTGGCGGTGAGCCGCGACCGCCGTTGGGCCGGGGCTTAAAACAACACCGTAAAGCAGACGACTGTGCGCACGCCCCACCGCCACCCCCTACCCTAACCTACGGCCGCGCCCCACCGCAACCTCATTGCAGCAGAGCGCCGCCCCGGGGAGCAGCAGCAGCGGCCCGAAACCCCGACGCCTCTTTCATTTAATACAACTTGTGAAAGCGTCGTTACTCGCCGTCAATAAAACTCCTCGACGATCATAGCCGAGGGGGTCGTCCTCCTCCTCCTCCTACTCCGCGCCGGAAGCTCGCGCCGAGCAGGGCCTGGGGGGGCGTAAATAGGGGGACGGGGCGGCGACCACGGTACGGCGGTATACTGTCGCGCGCGCGGAGGAGGTCGGCGGCCATCAGCGCCAGCCTCAATGCGAGGCACTAACTAACTTTATTTTTTGGCTGCCGCGTCTCCGCTCCGCCCCGTCTCGCACACGCTCCTCACTCGCATGCTACGCGCCACGCTCTCCCGCTTCCTTTCATCCCCGATCCCTTCCATTTTTTTTCTCTCTCTCCAACTTCCATTCTTTACCCTAGTTTCTCCCCCCTTGCTCCCCGCCTACCCCTGCTTCTGATATCCGGCGAACGGCACAGCAAGAAGGAGCAGCAGCAGCGCCGGCAACAACAATAACAACAGAGGCGCGAGAATCGCCATTTTTCCGCGCAATACACCTTTTCCAAGACCCAAGGCAAGGCGCGAAACGTGGGCGTGGGTGGGGTGGAGCGTAACGAAATGTGACGGGAATGGGTTTTATAAGGTAACGAGCGACGGCCCGAGCCCAACATAGACCTGCCCGCCCCCGGCGTGCCGAGGTTGCCGACGACAAGCGCGGTCGCACGCACGCGCAGCGCGCAGCAGCAAATACTCGCGTTGCTGGCGCTGGCGACCTTCGCGCCGAGCGTGGGCGGCACAAGCGGGGCTGGCGACGCCCTTCGCAGAGACGAGGCCAGAGATCACCGTCGCTCGTGGCGCAGTGGGCGACGAGCGACGGCGTTACGGGTCGACGGCACACGAGCTGGGCCGGGTGGCCCAGAAAGGATCTCTCTGGTCAGGAAGGTCCTCTCTCTGCGGCGACTACCCCGTGCCGTGGCCCTTCATGTGGTGCTGCCGCGGGTGCCGAGAGACGGCGAATAACCACCTCTGCGTCCGTACCAATGAAACAAGCGTTTCACACGGACACTCTTGCGAGTAGTGCTCCCCAAGATGAGATGGCAATAAAGTATTGGTGGGGGGGGTGGGGGGGGGGGGGTAAGGTTAGTTAAATCGGGTGCAGTGGTTTCAGTTCGGATCGTGGTCGCGCTCGGGGTCGTGCGTGGAAGCCCGCGGGGGAGGGGTGGAGTGGGGGAGTGGTGGCCACACTCGCGCTTACGACCTGCTGCCCTCCGCCCGCCCCCTTACCCCCCGAGGATTCCCAGCCACATTCCAGTTTCCAGTCCGGCTCCAGTCGTTGCCGTCCTCCCCTGGCTGCTGGCCAGCCCAGCGGGGCAGTCCCTTGGCCCCGCCCCGCCCCGCCACTAGGTCCGGGCGAAGGCGCCGCGGCGGACAGAGTAGCAGTGCTGGGGTGTGATTTTGCCCCCACCCCTCCACACGTCGCCTCGCCACCGCAGGAGGAAGAGAGCGCCGCTCGCTGGCCGCCGCGTCGTTAGTCAACGTCGGCCCCGCCGACTCATATCCTCGCAGATATATATATGGGGCCAATAATGAAAACGAAAATAATTGATCCATCATCCTGTGAAAGGGTTAAAGCCCCCTCCATTAGGCCGCCGGTGAATGATTCATATACACACGCTGCGCCCCGCGCCGGCGCTAAAAGCAAAAGTCTCCTCTCACAAAGGCAACGCCGCCGCCGCCGCTCACCTCTCTCCTCGCGGATGGATCGGGAGAGCCCCTTCTCCCCCCTTTTGTGTTCCCAGATGCTCATCCGTGGCACTATAAAAGTTTCCGCATATTTTCACGGCGCGCGGCGCGACTGTGAGGCGCGAGGGAGCGGGGCTGCGCGGGGCGGATACCTCGGCCCCGCGCAGCCCCGCGTCAGAGTGATGATGGCCTACTCGCCGTATTTTCTGTGACGGAATGATGCGGAAACCGTTCCTTTGCACACCTTCCCCTCTACAACCATTCGAGCACCGCGCCGAAACCTTTGCACCTGCATCCCCGCCAAAGCATCTCCATGCGGGGCG